TTTTTTTTTTTTTTTTTTTTATCTTTCCTCCGGTGTCAAAGTTGCGGTATATATATATATACATGTACAAGCGGAAGGAGTGGGTACAAGGTTCCACATATGGGAGATGAAAATTGTTATTGTAGATGTCCCGAGTCGTGTAACGCGTTTCTGAGTTTTGGAAAATGAGATGATACGTGCGAGTAAAATAATAATAAAAACATCAATGAGCGAGGTAAATCGCGTTGTGAGCATAGTAGTGCGGTAAGACTTTGAAGGAATTTGAAGGAAGGAACGCAAGGATTCGTGCAATTGTCGATGGTTGAAACCGTTAGAACTGAGTTTTTACGTGCGGCTTGCAGAAATTGGAAAGGTTTGTAAATCGGTGTAACTTTTTTTGTTCAACGAGATCAATCAGCTGCTGCATTTTTATTTCAGCAATATTTAGAAATGATATACGAATATAAGAAAAAAAAAAATAATAATAATAATAATATTGTATGTTTGCATTACAATTGTATTAAACTTACTTGCCATCTACCATTTCCATCTGTTAAATGAGAAAACGATAGGTGTACCCAAGTATCGTTCAAATGGAATCTACTCGAAAAAAACTAATGCTTAGTTCGGATTGGAGCTAGAGCCAACACGCCACTATGGTCGTGATGATGAAATTTCAAGCAAACATTTACCAAATGATTTTTCAAACGCCTCCATCGCTCGGATGGCTCTAGCTTCAATAATACATAATTTTATAATACGAATGGAGAACGGTGATAAAAACGACGTAATAAAATTTTCAACCCAATAATCACCTCTTTATTTTTNAACGTGAACGCGTGCCAAGGTCGCGAGTACGAACCACCCAGCGGTGAAAGCTCACCACCGCCGTTACTGCTAATCGTCATGCATTAATGCGTTAATCCCACCTCTTTGGGTTTGTATGTACTTAAAATTTTTTTTTTTTTTTTTCCAACCCTTTTCTCATTGTAAAAGGTACACCTATAGGTACATATATATGCGTGACTACAAGAGCGATCGGTAAATATATATAGATGTAAATACACCTCAGATACGAGAGTGTATATAGGTATATTTATATGTATATAGTTGAGGGGGATGAAAAAACGAGAGCCACGCCTCGAGAATTACCTATATATATACTTCCGCCCTTTACTCACCCTATACGCTGCCACAGCTTGTCACCTAATAGACTATTCCCATCCTCCGTTGTAAGTACACGTGAGTATTACTGGCGAGCTAGTGACTCCTATACATTTGTCCCGCCAGTTTATATATATATGTATTACCTACTTGCGCTACTTCCTCTCGACTGCTTCTCGTGCGTGCGCGCGTGTGCACTTACGTACGGGGGTACATGGGCTTATTGGAAACATATACATATATAATGGGTGGAGGGTATAGCGTGTAATCGTAGCTTTTACGGATTCGTCGAGACGCCGTCGTATAACGATGATGGGCGTCTCTACTATACCTATAAATGGTCAAGTTTCAAAGTTGGGTGACGTTGTGTCATTTCCAACGCTACAGTTGTAGGGTTATTGCGTATATAATAAATATACTACAGCGCAAAGTTTCGCACTTTCAAAGTCGCGACTATAATAGAGTATAATGTAGCTTGTGAGCTGTTGTAATAAATTGAGGAGGTGCTCGTAACTAATTCCAATTGACTCGGCGAAGCTCCAATTGGAGCGATTGGACCCACCCGAAGGGAGTTGAAATTTTCGGCTCCCCCCAAAAAACAAAAAAAAAACAACGAGTTCCTTGCTCCCGGTGGTGCAATTTCGAGAACCCGGGAGAGTCAACCGTCCAAGTTTCAATGTATCGTACAATATTGTTGTAAATTCGGGTTTCGTTAATGAGTTTTGCCCGCACTTTGGCGCGTAGAAACCCACATACTCGACGCCGATCGCCAATCAATCTCGAATTGCGCCATCAATCACGAGTCCGCGTTTTTTCGGGAGCGGCCAATTGAACGCCGGCCAGAGACACTCGTGTCGAAGACACGCGCATCACTTTCACAACTCTCCCCAAGACGACGCGTGTCCATATTATCTATACATTTACACATCTCGACAACCACGCGCGAGTCCATTCATCGTATATACCTCGTACCGTGCAACCATTACAACACACACTTACTTGTACCGAGTATGAGCATGTGCAGGTATTTATATACACAGGCCCCATTCATTGCGTTGCCGGCTGATTGGCGTCAGTCACGCGGGTGCGAGAAATGGACGAGTTTAGCGCGACGCGTTTCGTTTATAAACGTCACATTGTACCACCCACGCGTATACGCATCACCCAAGCCGCCGCGTAGCAGAAGGTATACGGGAAAGAAAAAGAAGATACACGCGCGTTGAAGCAAAAGTATAACATGTGTATACACATTTATATGTATACGTAGTTAGTAAAGTAGAAGCAGCCGAGTCGAGATGGGACGATATTATTTTTGGAGGGTGTGTGCAGAGAGAGAGAGAGAGAGAGAGAGAGATCGCGTGTATAGCCCCCTCCGATGGGCTGACGCAACGCGCGTTGCTCTTTCTTCTCCAATGCTTATACACTTATATATGTATATATATGTACACCTCGAAATCGTGGCCCATTTTTCGTACCAACTATATTATACCCACGTGGGAATTTACCCCATCCCCTCCTTACACTTGTACACGCGCGTATATTTTATCGGGCATATAGTATTACTTGGCAATCTGAGATGGATTGATAATAATTATATCATTGAAAATTGGAAAAAAAAAAACAATAACTGGCAAAAAAATCTCGAGCTTGATCGCAATGATAACCGGCGCGGGCTCTAAAATACACATATAATACCCCTGCAAAGCGTGACAATGAACTTGGACGCGCAAATAGTGTACGACCGGCGGGGTATATATAGTATAACGCGCATCAAAGTTGGGCCACAACCAAAGCAGAGGGAGTGGAAGACCAAGAATAGGGGGTGTACATCATATAGGTATGTACACGAGGCGCAGGTGTGTGTCGCGCGTGCATGGGTATACTATATGATGTACATACGCGTGGTCACGTATATATATAGGTGTATAGTATGGCTTACCTCGTTTAAGGGGCGCGACATGCATGACTCTAAGAGGGGCCGACAATAAGGGCGGATCTCCGTGAAACTGCCTCTCATGACACTTTGACGGCTTGGGCTGGGACGAGCTGCTCCTGCTGCTATATGTACTGCTTATTGCAATTGATTTACGGTGTATATAAGACTTGTCTGATTGTCTGACTTGTCACTTGTATGTTATACTGCTCCCGATGTTCCCGCTCGAGTTCTGCTGAATTACGTATGTTATAATATATTGTAGCCTTTATCTTTTTCAATCCGTACCGCTTTGCGACCAACACTCCTATGTTTTTTTTGTCTCTTCTTGCTATACTTGACTGGATCGGCGTCTGTATGCCTCGACAGCGACGAGTACGAGCCCACGTGGTCGTTGGTTCCGTCAGCGAGTTGCCCGTGTAACAGCGACAAACCGTATAAAAGAGCGAGCGCAGGGAGAGCCAGGTGAGTAGTAGGTGGTCGGGTGCGTATAGGAACAAGCTGCCAAGTGGCGAGTGAGCCGCACCAGGATGGACTGAATCGAAGCGCGCCGAGCGGCCACTTGGCTCCGACGTACCTATTTCCCTCTCTCCCTCCATCCCACTGCGCTATATATACATAGCCGCTGGCGCCCTCCACCACCCCCTCTTTCGTTTTGCCGCCCCTTGGTTTATAACCCTCTGTGGGTGTGTGCGGGTATACACAAATGCTCTCGTCTTTGTTCCCCCCGCTTTTCGAGCTATGCAAGAGCCTGTGTGTAACAGCTTTTATACTCTTCGTGTGCCCGTAATCACGTATAACGCCACTTGAGTATATATACTTGCTACATGTCGTTGTGTCGGCGAGGGTCCTCTCTTCTGCTCATCTCTTTCGCCCTCGTTTTTCGCACTTTCATCCCCTTGCTTATACTTACCTGTACTTTGGTGCTAGTACTTTGGTCCTTGCGCCCCCAAAGGGAAAAAAAAAAAAAAAACAAAAGAAGAAAAAAGAATCTCGTGATTGTGAGAGATTATACGAGATGTCGCGCGCGCACAAGCGCGTCTTTTTATACGGTTTTTGCGAATATCTACCGGGATTTGGGGACATTCGTTTGGATTATGCCGCCACGTGCCCCCCTTTCCGACTTATGCTGGGCTATGACCTTTTTATCTGTGTATAGTACCTGTCTCATTTTCGGGATTTTCAGGGACAGACTTTTTTTTTCCTCTTTCCCTCTCGTGCCGTTTATTTTCCGGTATTTCTTTTTTTTTTTTTTTTTTTTTTTTCTTTTACGCGTCTCTCGGTGTAACTATGTACTCGTTTAGTCGTGCAGGCTTGTTTTGTCTGTACATTGGTTGCAGTTGGCGTGTAACTGCAATATACAGGATCGAGTGTCTCTTTTGAAACAGTCGTAGCTCTTGTTATCTCCGCGTTTACCGAGAAACATTAAATATATACCAGGGCTAGATTGTTTTCCTTTGCGTGCAAGAAAAAAGAAAAGTAAAGGATTCTCAATGCTCTTAATCAGCGGGTATGAGTGTCGTGTTACACGATAAACCCGATATGTTGCGTAGGTATATGTACATGTATAATATGAAACTCTTACGAGCCATAAAAAGCCGGTATTATAAATATATACCTTTGGTACTCGTGTATAATTATATGGGTGTATGTGGGTATGTTTTAGCGATTTTACTACGTGTTTATCGCATTCATGCAGCAATCGATGAAAAATTTATCTACTCGATTTGCCTACGGACTGAATCTTCTATTATAAATACGTCGATGTATAGTGACGTATGTGAGCTCAATGTTGGTTTACGAAAAGCAAAATACGTGTGAAAATACAAATTGGCGCTACCTACTGATGATATAGAATCAAACTTTACTTTTGAACAAGCTACATCAGTCTGTTGTTAATCAACGAAACATACCTCGTCGCTTTTCGCGTGTGAAAACCAAACAAAAAAAAAAAAAAGAGATACATTAAAATTCACATTTTGATGATCCAGATTTCATGATTTTTTTCTTAGGTATATGTGTGATGCAAATATTTTGCAAAAAGGAAAAATACTGCGTTAACATTGTACAAGAGGAGTAAATTTGTATTTGCGATTTCGAATCGGTAAATCAGTCGAAACAACAAGGTCAACGGCAAAAGGTATCGAAGCAAGACCGTGACACAGATGGAACGGCATAAACAAAAAGTTAAATCGCCGATTCGTGGGTGAAAAACAAGTTTTACTCGAGAGGGGTTTAAAAAAAAAAAAAAAAAGAAAAACTCGGTTTTCACCGTTTTCGTTCGGTAAGTACACCTCAAGGGCAAAATGAATCTTTTCGACAAACAGACGTAACTTAATGTATAACGTGATGCTCTCAAGTAGAACAAGCCGAGTTCGGTAAGACGCGCTCGACGATTTTCATCATTAAGCATTCTCTCCCCGAATCGTCCCCGAATCCCGCTGATAAACATCTATTTTTCCCTCCACTCATGAAAAGTAACCCCGGAAGAAAAAAAAAATTCATAATAATGTATGTTACCCACATTGTACGGGACAACGTTCGGCCGTAAAGAAGAGAGATAGGATTTTCTTCCTTCTCCCAAAAAAAAAAAAAAAAAAAAAAAAAAAAAAAAAAA